GGTGCCACTAGTTGCCGCAGAAAACTATGAATAATGAAACTGATGAACACAAATGTTAAAGGAATAGATCACCCAAAAATGAAAATGTGCTCATCCTCAGGCCATCCAAGATTGGGATCCAAGACCTAAGATTAGGATCAAATGCTTTTTATTGGGGGTCGGGGGCCTCCGAATGTCTAGATAAAGAGATTTCTGAGCAGTGCATTTATTCTTCAACTTATTCTAAAGGTGTGTGTGACTAGAACTTACTATTCATTTCCTTCAAAGTCTCAGGTGTGCTTTGTTTGAGTAAATAAGAATCGCATCTCTGCTCTAACTCTATTACCATATGAAATATAAAGCAGGGATGCACAACCTCTGAACGCTCATATACAGGCATATATATAAAGGTCATCTATGACTCCTGTTGTCATTTTTATCTGTGGTGCAGAGCTACCAAACATTTGATTTCATTTTCAGCTTCAGCATCTTTTGATGGACAGATGATGGTGTCTTGGAGAAGATGGGTGTTATTTTTAAACAGGTAAGCTGCCTTAACAAAAATACTAACCCCTTTGTATGCTATAATATGAATAAAGACGCTATCTATCTATCTATCTATCTATCTATCCTAAATAATGCCCAATTCAAATTCTCTTATCACTATTCAAAATGCATTTTTTTTAACAATGCACACCAAAACCTCAAAACAACTTGTTGATAAACTAAGCATTCTAAATAAGAAACTATTTTGTTGATATAATTATATTAAGTGTGAATAACATTTCCTTTGTTAGAGACAAAAAGATGCGCGCGTGAAGAAGGAAAATGCAAAAGCCAACCTTCAGCAGAGAACACGAGCATCTCTGAGGTGTCTGACACGGTCAAGGTGAGACATGTTTTATATGAGCTAGACCTATACATTCAGAAATTAATGCATTATTGTTTTATGCATGCTTTATTGAATCCATTACTCTAAGGACCTGTGTGCGTGTCTGTTTTCCCGTTGTGTTTTATTCCTAGCTTCCAGAAACTGAACTGAAACACGTTGTTAAGCAGCACAAGTATCATGCAAGTAGTCCAGATGCACTACTTTGCATTAAAATAATCGTTCACCCAAAAATGAAAATGTTATCCTCAGACCATCCAAGATGTAGATGAGTTTGTTTCTTCATCAGATTTGGAGAAATGTAGCATTGCATCAGTGTCTCAGCAATGGATGCTCTGCAGTGAATGGGTGCCGTCAGAATGAGAGTCCAAACAGCTGATAAAAACATCACAATAATCCACAAGTAATCCACAGCACTCCAGTCCATCAGTTAACATCTGGAGAAGACAAAAGCTTAAACAAATCCAGCATTAAGACGTTTTTAACTCAAATACGAGTTCATAATCCATAATAATGCTTCCTCCAGTGAAAAAGTGTTCTGGTCTGAATCAGGAGAGAAATCTGCACAGATCAAGCAGCGTTTAAACAGCTCTAAACAAATATGTGGAGGATTTATATGTGAGAGACAACAGGAGATTTGTTTTAGTTAAGCGTCTTAATGCTGGATTAGTTTCAGCTTTTGTCTTCTCCAGATGTTAACTGATGGACTGGAGTGCTGTGGATTACTTGTGGATTATTGTGATGTTTTTATCAGCTGTTTGGACTCTCATTCTGACGGCACCCATTCACTGCAGAGCATCCATTGCTGAGACACTGATGCAATGCTACATTTCTACAAATCTGATGCATGGAGCTCTCTTCTAATGAGCCGGTGGTATGAATCAGGTGTGTTAAATAAGAGAAAACATGCAGAGCGGTGGTACGCGAGGACTGGAATTGAGAACCCCTGCTTTTAAGCATTGACATCTTCAGCTTTCGGAGGATTTAATGTCTAGGGTTTAATGCACTGACTGATGAAATGTGCTGCTTGTGCATCATGCTGATGCTTGTCATCTTGACTAATTGAGCTTCATGATCGTGTCTTTACAAGGTTGCTGTGATTTATGCACCGTGTATAAAGGTTGATGTTTGTGTTTACTGGTCTTGCTTGAATGCATGTTTCCTCTAGGTTGTGATGGTCATCAGACCGCAGGTGCAGCGAGAGTTCAAACTGTGGCAGGAGACCCTCTTCATGACCGTCAGCATCATTGACCGCTTCCTTCAGGTTTGTGATTCTCAATTCACCTCTTAAACGTGGCAGTAATGGTCATGACTTCTCATATTGCTCTTTAGAGCCCTGAATGAGCGCAGAGCAATGTGTCAGTCCACTAATGAGGTTTGATATTTGTAGATTTGCTTGCACTCCCAATGGATCCCATTCAGTCGTGTCTTGAATATTTTCCAACTCTCTTTCTCCTTCCAATCATGTCACTTTTATTTTGGCTAAAATTTCAGATTACGCTGTATTTGAAAGCAGGAGTTTTCCTGGAAAATAGTGTTAACTTGATTTTCCCCCCCCTAGTTTTATTTGTTTTTTCAGTACATATTTAGACTGGTTCAAAACCTTTACTCTTGTTCTACTCACTTTGGCATCAAAAGACACTCATTTATTAACTCTCCCTCCTGTTCGGCGTCGTTCCTGATGGAAGTGTCTGCTCTGGACCATAATCTAGTCCACGTTCCTCCGTCCCTCACTGCAGGATTCATTCTGTTTTATTTTATTTGTCTTGTCTGTGAACTCTCATTAACGTCTTGCTCTGTAGCTAAGATTAGTTTGCCTGTTTGTATGTTGTTTGAGTATTAAACCGGTGTTTAGGGAAGTGTGTGAAATATTGAAAGTAATCCATTGGCACCGAAACGATGTGAACGTTTCATCTAGATAATGTCTGTCTGGCAGAGTGTGAGTCTACAGACTTTAGCTCCCGTGATGCAGGCCGTCGTACGGATGCTGGAGAAGGTTACTGACCAATGCAAGGTAAGACCAATCTCATGGAAATGATGAATGCGTGAATTCTTCTGCTAGAAAAAGACTTGTCTGCATTTTTCTTCTCATGGCTCTTTGATGATTTTCTTTTGTTCATCTAAGTTGCTTTGGATAAAGGCACCTGCTAAATGCATGAGTGTTTTCCTCCTCAGTTGCAGGAGATTAAGAGCAGGTATGTGCAGAAGTATGTGAAGGTTTCTTCAAGCATCTGCACGGTCGACGGATTCTCCAGTGATCTTTGGCGCAAACATCGGTTTTAATTTTGAGGCACTTGAAGAGTTCTTAGGCACTTAAACTGATTTGTATCAGGTTTTAATTATGCTTTTTAATCCCATATTTGTTTATTTTTATAAAATGTATTCTAGTCGAGCTAAAGTGTCAGACTGCGATTTACTATACTGTATGAATGTAAGCCAGTGAATGAACTGATGTGATTAATATAAGTCTGCATTTCATACTAAGACGGTCAATAAATGAATATTCATTTGATTACAAAATCCATGCAATTGTATTTTCTAATAATCACCTTTTCCCTTAAACTATTGCAATTAAATGACTGAATTTAGGTCCAGAGTCTTTCATTTGTGGACTATTTACTGTGACGGGGAATCAAACCAGGCAAATTAAATGTGACTCTCTCAGGAGGGTTAAAATGCTTTGCTACATATTATGCTTTTGTCCTGAAGGACACTGGTGTTAAAGAGAAATATTACTTCATAAAGTGCCACAGCAGCGTGTCCCTGGCTCTGGTAACTAATGTGTGGAGTGTGTCTGTTTTAGTTCTTCAGTAAGAAACACACACATCTGTACAACAGAGAGCGTTTACTGCAAGCCAAGGTTTGAATGGAAAATGCAACAGGATTTGTCAATGCATTTTCATTTGTCAACTTAAATGGCATTGCTTTTTACATTTCTGAAGCAGGGACTTTGAATGTATTCGAGTTGAGTTGTGTTATTTACAGACTGATGCACACAAATTTGGTTTGGGTTTGTTTTTGTAAATGTATTGGGTTTTTGTCATGCAAAAGGATGTTTCAGATGCTGTCCAGGTGTTCATTTGCACATCTGACAGACTGATGGCACACACTGAGAAACACTTACAGGTGTTTTAAGTGTCTATTGACCTGAAGAACGAACTCTGGAATGTTTCACTCTTAAAGATTCAAGGCTTTTATCATGTGAGGCCACATTAGAATATTTAAAAAATAATATTCTGTCCCTTCATTGTAAACGCCTCACTGTAACCCAGATTTCAGCTGTTTTAAGCCTCATGTTCTGGTCATATTGACCCAGAGAGGATTTTTTTCCCCCCAGAAAATGTTAATGTTATCGCTCACACAGCATATCACAACTTCCCAAATAATTTTAATTACAATAATTCTGCACTTTTGGCATTTCCAGTCAAAACTGACCGGCCTACAAAAAAAAAAAAAATTGCTAGTAAATCTCTCATTATGCTGTATTATCTTTGGGTTTAATCCCTTTATCAACTTGTTTTCTTTCAATCAAAACAGCTTTTGTGTGCTCATGCACTTCAGTTTATAAGTGGGGGAAAAAAACATTATTTGTAGATAATTTTAGCAATATTCACTCAAAAACTGCTGCAAAAGTCAGATCAATGAGGCCTACGATCAATCAAAACCTGTGTTAATTGAAAGAAAACAAGTTGATAAAGAGATTAAAACCCAAGATGTAAAGATAATACAGCATAATGAGTTGATGTTGCATTATAGGTTCTTAAAACATTCCAGGTCAAAAAGGACCGAATCAGTTGCTAAACACACAGGTTGCTGCAGTGCAAAGGACTTTAGATGAAAAATACAAAAACTGTACTCTTTAAAGGCAAATGCTTGTACACAAATCAAATGAATCAAAAACACACATTTCACGAATGCACTCAATAATAGCGTGCATACGCCGTCAGAAATCAGTGCATGTTTAAATTTTTAAGAAAAGCATTTTTTATTACTTTTTTTTCTGCCAAAACACCAGCTCCAGCACTATCCTGAGCATCCTGAGCGGCAAAGCTTCCCGATGCGCGAGTTCAGCGCGCTCAATGACAACACGTTTGTGATTAAATCCTTTCTTTCTTATGTGTTTCCAGTGTCAGAGTGCACCGATAGGTGGCAGTGGGTATCTCAGGTAGAAATTCCCAATATATCCCAGCAGCCGCTCAGCTGTCACACACACACACACACACGGAGAGAGCGCAGGAGTCTCGCGCAGAGTTTCACCAAACAGAAAGTGCTAGAGTCGGGGAACGGGCACTTCACGCCGCCGGAGCCGGAGACACAGCACGGATACGGATACATCTCGTATCGGAGTTGTGAGCAATGCGCTGGCAGCATGGCCAGATGGTTTAAGGAGCACCTGGGTTTCAAAACCACCAAAGCCCCGCCACCGGCGCCTCCTAAACCGGACTACCGACACTTCCACACCGCCGTCTCCAGCCCTCCAGCGTTCCACCTCCAGCAGCAGACGGGCACCGGGTTAATGTCCGCGCAGCCCGACATCCTCACCGCCTACAAACTCCAGAAGGAGCTGGACTTCGAGGATCCGTACACGCCGGGCGGAACCGTGCCCTTCTCCACCGGACTGAGTTCCGCGGGCTCGCCGGACGTCAAGTACGTGTCTCCGAAGCACCGGCTCATAAAGGTGGAGACGGTCGAGCGCAGCGGCTCGAGCTCGGGCAGCAGTAGCGGGGCGACCGCGGTCAAATCCCCCAGCTCTCCACCCGTCGAGCCCGAGAACGGCAAGCAGGAGAAGGTAAGAGCGAAGCCTGCACACTCACCTCCGCAGGTAGGCTTCATACGGCGCTGAACGGGACACGGAGCATCACTCAGTCTACTCAGTGTTATATAAAATCTGAAAATATATTTAGATTTTTACTAACTTGTTTTCAATGATTTTGAATATTTTTAAAATTTTAATAAATCAGTTCTATATTTATTTTTAAAATAAATTTTTGTTCATATTAAATAGTGTTTTAGTAAAAAAAAAAAAAGAAGTTTTTTTTATTAGTAAAATCTTTTTTTTTTAAATTTAGTATTGACAAGGAAAAATAAATCTAAAAATATAAATATAAAAATGTGTTTTTTTCAAATATATATTTAAACATTCACTGGTAGTGTCATCACAGTGTGAAAATATTTGACAATAACAGGGTTTACACATTCTGGCATGCTTTGTGAGGGTAAAGGCCATGCTTTAGCACAGAAGGTCTGCGTCAGAACCGGTAAGACGAGTTGTTTTATGTGCTCCACAACGGTTACGAGCAGGGAGGACGCTGTTACCGACATCCAGAAACACAATCCGTGGGTCTGAGTTTGGGTTTGACTGCTGTTAACATCCATAAACGTCTCTGAGCTGCTTGAGAATCCACATCCGCAGAGGTCTTACATGGCTTTGGGTTATTCTTGATATTTTAGGAATTGTAGAGTGCCCATATGTTATATTGGTTTCCATATATTTTTTGGGGTGGAAATGAAAATGGGTCGTTAGACATTTATTATCCAGAAGATTGTTGCTCCAGAAGGTGGCTGTGTTTTAGATTCGTCCAACACATGAGAGTCAAACCATGCAGGATGAAAATATGCAGAGGTCAACAGTAATGGTGACCTTTGACATCCAGTGAAAGTCAGTCATTTGCCCTAAAATCTTATTGACCATTTTTTAACGTTTTGCAATGCTTAGTATTGATACGTTTTATGGTGTGATCAGTGAAAATGTTGGTGGGTGGAGTGAAAATCTGAATGCATGCACACGTGCTTGGATGCCGTGTTGAGTTCATTTGTGTAGCGTTTTTTTTGTATTTACGTGAGTGATCACAAATGTATAGCTCGTTCAGAATACTTCCTCTGCGCTTCATACCTGCCAAACCTTGTCCTGCGAGGTGCGGCCCGTGCGCTCTCCGTACGCTCTCAGGTTAGTGATATGATGCAAGCGGAGACGGCATGCTTCAAACAGTGCTGTCATATAGTGCACACGCACCCGCAGGTGTCCCAACTATCTGGTTATCTTCAGTTAGGGTGCATACTAACTACAGGCTGCTGACTGACACGCTGTTGTCGCTGTCATTCTCGTTCTTGCCGAGCTGATCAACACTTCAGGCCTTCACAGGCATCATGCTCGTGGACTGCCTGTCAAAGCCAGACAACATGCAACTGACTCATCAATCCTGGTAAATACCGCAGCTTCTGCGCCGTCTAATTAAAAGAGTTCAGCTGCAGAGTGTTGTTTGTGCTGGTCTGCGCTCTTATCAAATGCTGTTTGTCCCGATTGCTGAATTGCAAGGTTGTTCAAGGAAAAGTTACTGCATAAGATCATATGGGAAAGCACAGGTGTGTGTGTGTGTGTGTGTGTGTGTGTCAAGGTTTGGCTGGTCAAAACGACTCCATTAGACCTGCTGGTAAATGTCGTAACTAACCATCTGCTTCCATTGATGGCCATTCAAAAGTAGCTGTGTGTTCAACGTACAGTGTATGCTACATATTGTTTCTGAAAGAAGTCTCTTCTGATCACCAGGGCTGCATTTATTTGATCAGAAATACAGTAAAAAATGTGAAATATTATTACAATTTCAAACAGCTGTTTTCTATGTGAATATATAGTCAAATGTAATTTATTTCTGTGATCAAAGCTTAATTTTCAGCATCATTACGCCAGTCTTCAGTGTCACATGATCTTCAGAAATCATTCTAATATGCTGGTTTGCTGCTCAAGAAACTGCAGTGACCCTAAAAATTAAAAAGCAATAGTTCACCCCAAAATTAATTTACTCACCATCAGGCCATCCAAAATGTAGGTGACTTTTTTCTTCAGTAACAGTGAAGAAGGTTTTTAGCTGAAACTGTGGTCCATGGTGATTCATAAAATGCAAGTCAATGGCTACCGACACTTTGAGAGTCAAAAAAAGCATAACGCAGGACACCAAATGAATCCCCGTGGCTCCTGATGATATATTGAGGTCTTATGGAGCGAAACGATCAGTCAGTGCAAGAAACTGAACATTATTTACAGCATTATTACTGTAATCCAGAGCTTCAGATAAAAGGGGAGATCTGATTCTTTTCCTTGAACAGGTTCTTTCGGACAGTTCGTTTCAATGAACTGATTCAAATAACCGACTCACTAGTTCATTTGCATGCTCACACAATGACATAACGTATGCGCAATTATATTATTAAAGCAGCCAATAATGATGTAAATCATGGATGTTTTACGTGTCTAAAGCATATAAAGTGAATAAACTAGTCTTCATCAGCTCACCTTTTTACATAAACAATGAGAAACCATAAAAACGTTAATTTGGCCCTTCATTCAAGCTCTCGGTTCATGCATGCGCAGATCAGCGGCTCATCTGTGTTCAGTCCGAGTCGAACTGTTTTAGCTGAAACGGTGGTCTTTGGTGATTCATAAAATGCAAGTCAATGGCTACCGACACTTTGAGAGTCAAAAAAAGCATAACGCAGGACACCAAATGAATCCCCGTGGCTCCTGATGATATATTGAGGTCTTATGGAGCGAAACGATCAGTCAGTGCAAGAAACTGAACATTATTTACAGCATTATTACTGTAATCCAGAGCTTCAGATAAAAGGGGAGATCTGATTCTTTTCCTTGAACAGGTTCTTTCGGACAGTTCGTTTCAATGAACTGATTCAAATAACCGACTCACTAGTTCATTTGCATGCTCACACAATGACATAACGTATGCGCAATTATATTATTAAAGCAGCCAATAATGATGTAAATCATGGATGTTTTACGTGTCTAAAGCATATAAAGTGAATAAACTAGTCTTCATCAGCTCACCTTTTTACATAAACAATGAGAAACCATAAAAACGTTAATTTGGCCCTTCATTCAAGCTCTCGGTTCATGCATGCGCAGATCAGCGGCTCATCTGTGTTCAGTCCGAGTCGAACTGATTCCTCAGTTCAGTGATTGTTGGAGGAACTGGAGCACTGAATCAGTTCATTCATCATAGAATCAGATACGCCGGTGTTTCGGCTCATTTCCAGTCGCAGTGACTGTCAGGCGTCTGAAAGTGAGCTTTGATTGAGGAACTTGTAGATCTGTGCTGCTTGAGCCACAAACTGATTCAGATGATTCAACTAGTTGAACTAAAAAGAACCGGTTCAAAAGAATGATTCATGAACCGAGCATCACTCCGGACCGTTTGCCTGTAGCTCTGGATTACAGTAATAATGCTGTAAATAATGTTCAGTTTCTTGCACTGACTGATCGTTTCGCTCCATAAGACCTCAATATATCATCAGGAGCCACGGGGATTCATTTGGTGTCCTGCGTTATGCTTTTTTTACTCTCAAAGTGACAGTAGCCATTGACTTGCATTTTGTGAATCACCAAGGACCACGGTTTCAGCTAAAAACCTTCTTTACTGTTCTACTGAAGAAAAAAGTCACCTACATCTTGGATGAGTAAATTAACGGCAAATCTTCATTTTTGGGTGAGCTGTTCCTTTAACTAGCTATTAACAGAGTTTATAGAGCCATGCTCTGTTAGAAACACTAAACACTAAACTGTGAGCAGTAGGATTTTCATATTTTGTGAACGCAGGCATCAAAGATTCGTTATCCGTGTGTGAACCGCTTAGACGCGTCATCGTTATGCTCTGTCCATCGCAGTGCTTCTGCTCGCTCATACTGAATGGTGTTTATCGACCGCTGAGGCTGAAACACAAGTATCCTGCTAGTGCTTTGAAAAGGCCAGCTAATGTCTTAATTACTTGACAAGTGGATGATAATTATGGAAATGCTTTCCTAATGCTCGGAATGCCAATATCTGTGTCAAGCGTTTTGCTCTATCTTGATTTTGAAACAACAGCAGTGTTCAGTCAATTACTTCAGTTTGTTGAGAATCGATTTGACATATTTAGTCAGATTTAATCTATATAATTTAAGTTTCAGATGCATTCAGTTCCTTTTTAAGGGTAGTTTTTGCCATTGCAATGCTCAAAAAAAGATATTTTGAAGAATGTTGGTGACCAAACAGCTGCTGGTAGCCACTGACTTCCATAGTATTTTTTTCCCATATTTTTTCTGTTTTCTTTTTCTACTGAAATTGGTGCAGAGAGCCGTGAAATGTTACTGTAGTGACACCGACTACTGAGATTTTGGTATTGTGACAACACGGATTTATTTATTATAATTAAAACATAAATAATGAAATCTTTTTTTGCCAGTATGGTAAGCAGACCGGCTGATAGCATTAGCTTATGATTTCTTTGCTGCTCTTGTGTTTTTGTTGTTGTGATTAGACCTTCTCGGCTGAGAGCGTTTGTAAGATGATCAATTATCGTTTTAAAGTAGTGTTAATGAACAACACCCTCCGAGCACACACACACACACAGTCACACACACTCTCACACACACACGCGCACACACACACACACACACACACACACACACACAC